TACACAACATTGTAAACATACACGGTCTATATTACATGTGCTTCAGTCTGGTGTTTGCATGTCTGTCTGTCCATCTGTCAGTCTGGGGGCTGGATCTCAGGAGCCTTGCTGGGCTACTCCCCCACCCCGCCTCCATGCCCCACCCTGGAAACAGAACCTGAAACAGGTATGGTCCCCAATCTTGGCGGGAGCCAGCAGGCAGGGCCTGGGCCTCAGCCCCTACTCTGGCTTAAGAGTCCTGTGTGTGTGCATGTGTGTGCGTGTGTGTGTGTGCATGTATGTACATGGGGAACCTGTGTGCAAGTATGTACAAGGGGGGGTCATGTCACAGGTGGAGCAGGTGGGGCTCAAGGCAGGCCTGCCTGGGGTGGCTAGCTCACAAGTAGATTCTCCGTAGGTCTCCAGGTGCTGTGATGGTGTTGCACTGGGGGCAGAGCTTCTTGGCACCCTGCAGGGAGAACGGGGAGGGCTCCGGTGAGACCCTGTGCCGCACGTCTGCTGTGTGAGCACTTGGGTCTGCAGCCATGTCTCCCTGTACCAGTTGTGTGCAGGAACCTTGGTCCTGTCAGTCCGGGCTGGGGAGGCCTGGGCGGCCTCTGTGAGCAGGCAGGCACGCTCCTGTGTTGGGGGGACGCCAGGATCAAACCGCCTGGCCAGCCCCGCAGCGGGAGCCCCGGTAATGAGAACAAGGCTGGGTCCAGCTGTGGCTGCCGCGGCCCTAACGAGATTACACGCGGCCTTTGATCAGGACACAGAGCCCACGTCCGGGCCTTTTATTGCTGTCTCCGGGCGACATTTTAATGGCTGCTCCTGAGCGAAGAACAGGGGCAGGAGCAGAAGGAGCTTAGTAATGGGAGGGGGAGGGGCCGAGACCCTGGTCCTGCTTACCCACACCCAGCCTCCTCCTGACCTGGGTCTCACCGCCGTATGTTTTACAGGGGCCTTCTGGGGGTGAGGGGCCAGAGGAAGGGAGCAGGTATTGAACCCATGGGTGGGGAGAACAGAATAAACCTGGGGTGGGGGAGAGGGTAGTGAGCTTGGGGCTGAATATCCTGGCTTCCTGCTGTTTTCGATGCTTCTGTTCCCCCTCCCCTCAAATAGGCTCAAGCATAAGTATGGACATCGGGGCGGTACCCCAAATGGCCACCCCCTCCCAACCCCCAAGCCACTTCACCAGGGTCCGCAGCCAGCACTCCTCACAGTGCACGTGCCAACACTGGATGGACGTTAGGGGCATCGAGTATGCGTCCTAGGGAGAAGATGGGCAGAGAAGGGAGGGATCACTCTGAGGCTGTCCCACCCTCCGAAGGGCTCAGATCACAGGGCAAAGACCCTCTCCAACCCCCAGGGAGCACTGAAGCCGGAGCAGGGGCACCCAAGGTTCCCTTCCTCTCACCATGCAGATGAGGCATTTGTAACGGTCCCCACGGGAGAGCTGCCGTTCGAGTTCCCTGACCCGAGCCTTCAGGGCCTCAAACGTGGTCACAGCTGAATCTTCAGTGATTCTGTAAAGAGGATGGCATAGCTGGGCAGGCAGCAGGCTGGCATCCCTAACTTGAACCCCCAGTCCACACCTCCCTTGACTTCCAGAAGCACATATGTGAATGTCCCCTAGATATGCCCCCTCCCCAGATCTGCCAACTCCACATTCCAGAACTTGCTCCTCCACCTCCATCCTAATATATTTCTAAACCAGATATCCGGGAACCATTCTCAAACCACTCCTTTCCAGTCACCTCCAACATCCAAAATCTGTCACAGAGCTCCAAATTACCTCTGGCATCTCCACTTCTTCCCACTGCTTACCACCACTAGTCCAGGTGCTTGTGACTTCTGTGGACTACTTCACCAATCTGAATGGCCTGCCTCCAGTCTCCTCATTCCATTCGGTTCCCCTAAGCACCTAGAACCCTGCACATTTGATCATTTCTCCTTTCCACACTTCAGTGTCTATCTCAGAGTAAAGCTTTGCCAAACTCCTCACAAGCTTACATGGGCCTCCGCGGTCCAGTCCCAGCCAGCCGCACCCCTTCAGCACCCTGCCACGTACTTTACACTCCATCCACACCAAACTACTGGATTTCTACACACACACTTTTCATTCTGCTGGCCTCTCAGAAATTTCCACTTCCTCTGGATCATCCCCCAACCCCACTAAGTTCCATCTCATCATTCAGGTCTAGTTCCCACTGCCTCCCAGAAGCCTTTTCCAGTCCCAGCCAGTATCCCCACTGGTGGCTGCCTCTTCTGTGCTCCTCCAGCACCTGTACTGGACTTCACCACAGCAGTATAACTGCAAATGTCTCTGTCTCCTCTGCTAGCCTCACTTCCCTGAGCAAACTGCTCACTCCACCAGTACGGACTCCGGACGTTAACCCCACACTTGGCACATGAGTATAAGTAAATATTTGCCAAAGAGAGCTGGTCCGATACCCAGGGAGAGTGAGAGATGCAGGGACTAGATGAGGCCCACATAATCTAGGTCCCTGGCTACAGGCCTAACCCACCTCCAGGGCTCCTGGTTGTTTCTTCCTAGGCATGTCAGATGCCCTGGTGGTCCTCACGCGTTGTGCAAACCCTGCACAAGGTCCCTACAACTTCCTGAAAACTCTCTAGGCACGATACTGAACAGGGAATAGCTCAGGCTATCTCAAGGAGTGATCCCTCCCACCCCTCCTAAAACAAGTGAACAGAACCCAGAGAAACTCACAGAGGAGGAAGAACACTTCCTGAAGGAGAAGGGATGGTACTAGAGATGGGCCTAGGGAGTAATAATGACAATAATACAAATAAAAGCTAAAATTTATTAAGCACTTACTAAATGCCAGGGATTATACCGAGGGACTAAAAATTATTGTCTTATTTACACCTCACAAAAACCCCATGAGGAGATTCTAATACTCCCATTTTATATATAAAGAAACTAAAGCACAGAAACATTAAGTAGTCTGCCCAAAGGTTACATAGAGTGGGGGAGATGAGATTCAAACCCCAGCAGCCCGATTCTGTGATCAGTAACTGTGTAACCATTACTCCACACTGGCTATAACCAGGAGACAAGCTCCAGGCTGAGGGAACAGGAGGAACCAAGGCCAAGAGGCCCAAGAGCCCCAGCTGGCTGGAAGGCGCACCTGTAGGTAAGCAGAAAGTGCTACAGCGGGAAAGGAGACTATATCCAGGAAGACCCCAGATGCCACAATCAGAAAGGGAAGTTTATCTTACAGACAATTTATAGGAAGTTGTTGAGGATGTTGGTAGACAGCTGTAAAGGGTAAGAGCCGAGGTTTAAAAGGTATATTCAATCAGCTGAGGTGGAATCACAAGGGCCGTGTGTGTGGGCAAGGACCATCTCCTAGGGTGGCCTGTTCTGCCAGCTTCAGGGAGACAGTTGGCCCAGAAAGCCTTACAGGCAGTCCGTCCCTGCTGGGCTAAGTGGTAGGGGGCATGGGTAGGATGGTGGGAAACCTGCCTACTCTCTGACCTCTCTCTCTCTGAGGGCACTAGCAGTGACTCAGAATGTGACTTCCTGATGGCTGTGTCCCTGTATCACGATGCTCTAGATCCATGACTCCATGGGTCCATGATTCTCTGTCCTGCCGCTCTCGAGGGAAGCTGAGGCAGGCTCTGACTACAACTCCTTCCAGCACCAGTAGATTCCTTGGGAGCGTCCGTTCAACTTTCCAGCTCTGGAAAGCCTTTACCATCCCCTCCCTCAGAAACACCTGCATAGCTGGCTCCTCCCCTTGGCATTCTGCCCAGTGCTGTGTGTGTCATCCCCACCTGGACTGCTAGTAAATTCCTGACAAGGAGACATGCAATGGGTAGCTGTGCTCCCTTCCTCTCCAAGGACCAGGCTGAGCATTTGCCTGATCCTATGTGGTTATTTCAAAAACTGGGAAATCAAGGCCTGGGGTTGGGGACAGCTCACCCTAGTGAAGAGAACTAACTCTCAAAACCCCAAACCAGAGCATGAGCTAGAGCTGGGAAGGCAAAAAGGATGGGGCCAGGGGAGAACGAACCATTTCCCCATCTCCAAAAGCTCCAAGGCCACATCCAACTCCAGAGCCCATCCTATCTTGGATTTGCTCAGCACATACGTGGCCTATTGTTTGCTCTGGTGAAATACCCAATCCTCCAGGCCCCGACCTAGGTAGGCTGTAAGCTAGTTCTGAGCCCCTCTAGGGCATGGGGTAGAGAATTTCTTGGAAGAAGCCATGTCATCCTGCCTTTCTCCTTCTCTAGGTTGTGAAAAAGATGGGAAACCATGTGTCCGGCTGCGAGATGCCATGGGGACTGAGGGGCCCCAATCTTGACAGATCCAGACCTAATGGAGATCTCTCTCTACACAGGACTGAGCCAGTCCCAGAGAGCCCCGCCCACTGGTGCCTGTGCTCACACAGGTGGGACAGAAGCCTCGACTCCCCCAGCCCTTGGTGGGTAGGACCTTCATGGATGGCCACTGGCTCTGGCCCCCACCTCCCCCCTAAGCGCCATCCCTGATTAATGATCTTGTCTTTCTGATTTATGAGCAGCCCCTCCAGACGAGGGTGGGCGCCCCTTACAGCCCCGCCTGCCCCGCTCAGCTGGAGTAGGAGAGAATTATTAAATAAACATCCATACGTCATTCCTCCCCCCCCAAGCTGGTTGCGCCGAACCCGTGCGGCCCGCTCCGGCGCTGACACGGAGCAGCTGCGGTGATTCATGGGCAGCCGGGCCCTGCGCCGCGGCCCATACATCATGCCAGCAGCACTCGCGGCCCCGGCCGAGATAAACTGATCAACCACAACGGGCTGGAATGAATTTATGACAACACAAAATGGAGGGAAACAAATGGGAGGTGACCCTGGGCCACCGACCCAGCCCTGTACCGGCCTGCAATCCACTCTCCTGGCAGAAGGCAAGATGGAACACTGGCCCTGGAATGAAGAGGCTGCCTTTTAACCCCAGGCAACCTAGCCTCCAGAGGAGGGAGGGATGAGTGTGAGGAATTAAGGAATGGCCAACAGCAGCAGCTCCAGGCAGCCAGAACTGGACAATGCCACCTCCTGGGGCCGAAATGGCCTTGCTTGGGCTTCTGGAAAGGCAGTAAGGTGTCCAGCTGATTTCAAATCCTTGTGGCTCCTGGGGATCCAGGCTAGGGGTTGCCCAACTCTGGGTGAAGTGCTAACGGTTCCCCCTTTCCCCTGCCAGAGAACATGGGCCAAAAATTCCTACCAGACATGATGAGACCCAATACTCCTGCCTAAAACCCACTGCAAGCGCCATCCGGGACAAGAAAAATGAAACCAATTTAGCTCCCGATTAAGAAACAGAAACTGGAGATGAATCAAGTGTGCCGGCTGGGCTGGGCGGCCATACATCACATTCCCGGGCGGAGGCCGCCACAACCGGCAGGCAGGCAGGCCGAACAGGCAGGCAGGCAGGCAGGCCTCTCCTCCCTCTACCACAGCTCCCAGGGCCATGGCCGAGTGATCAATCCAGAGTCACACTTAGCACCAGCTGGACCCCACTGCCGGCTGTGTGCCCAGGGCAGCAGGCTTTCCTACTCGCAAAGAGATGGTCTCTCTCCCTCCTACTGAGCTGCGGTCCCAGGGGTCTCCCTCCTGGCCAGACACTCACTTCTCGATGTCGCTGTTCTTGCAGGTCTTCTGCATGGCCTCCTGCTTGCTGCTCTCACCGTTGCTGGTAGATGGCATCTCTGCTGGAACAGAGAGCAACTCACACTCTGGCCAGACTGGGCAGCCCAGGTGAGGGGTTGGGCTTGAGTCCATCACCACCAATGGAGAGACATCCCTTCTCCCCCATTACTCCTAACCTGGGTCAGGACTTACCATCACTGGCCCATTTCGAGAACTCAGGCGTGATGCGTGTGCTGGGAGGGCCGCCACTAGAGGAAAGGAAGGAGGAAGAACAAAGTGAGCCCCGAAGGCAGGCAGGATGGCCCTGAAGGGCGGGTACTGGGTGACACCTGCCTCAGGGCTTCCCATCCAACCCACCCAAGCCTGTGCCCACACTTGCTTTAGGACTGCGCCCCGGAGTGCCTCTCTCTCCTTGGCTTCGCCAGGCTCCTCGCCTGTGCAGGGGATGACATCAGCCTCCGTGTATCTGGCATGGTGGTCAAGGACAATGGATCCTGGTTTGCAGTGGGCCAGGAGGGTTGAATCCTCAGGAGGGCTCCCCCTGGCCCACGCTGACACTGACCCTTGGGTAGGGGGTGTGTGGGTGAGTCCCAGGGGTGCTTGCTACTTTTCTTCTGCCCTTGGCCTGTCCTCCCAGCCCCACCTTGTCCTGCAGTGCCCCAAGGATACTGTGGCTTCCCATACTCCAGAGTGTCATCCCCATCCACATCCAAGTCAGCATCACTGTCCGGATTCTCTTTGCCGCTGCACATGACGAAGCCAGAGCCTGTGGGAAGCAGGATATGAGGAGGGCCAGGGGCCAGCAAGATAAGGCCAAGAGTGTCCCCTTCTGTTCCCCTAGGTAGGGGTCAGGTTTTAGGCTTGGGATTTAGAGAGCCAGATATTTGGATGCTTTTGATTCTGACATTTCAGTCCTTTTCACTCTGTGTACCTCATCCTTCCCTGCACTGCCTGCTGCTCCAAGTGGTCTCTGCTCCTAAACTAGCCCATTCGTACACTAGGTCAGGTCCTTAGGAGACAACCAGTCTAAGCCTGTTGTCTACCTGTCTTCCAGTTCTAGAAAAAGCAGGAAGAGGACAGAGACATTCAGGTCTATAAATCACCCCCATCTAGAACCTGGACACCCTGTGTCCCACGGTCCAGCCTAACAAGTCCGCTAGAGACAGCAGTCTGGCTAAGGCCAGTCACAACCAGCCATACAGCGGGACCCCCAGCCAACGTCCTGATTTTGGCCGCCAGGTCCTTGCCAGCAAAAACACCAGGCAGCTGTTCAAATATTTGGTGTCTGAAGCGACTGACATTAATTATTCATCCCCAACTCACTCAGCCTGGATTCCTGGACAAGTGCAGTTATAAAGGGATTAGAAGGGACAGATGAGGGAGAGTAGGCATGCACACCTGCTTCTCAAAGTAGACCATGAAGGCAGCCAGGCTGGGCGGAGGCAGGGTGAAAGGCTGGGCAGGAGATGACCCCACTGAGGTGTATCTGGCAGCCACAGGCAGACTCTCGGCCAGTAGGGCGGTGGTGATGTTAGGGGGTGAGGTGCTGAAGCTACTCCAGGCCCACTCACCTGCCATGTGGTCTGACTCCCAGGGCCACCCTTCCTGATAGCCGAGGGTCAGGGGCCACAAAATTGCCTCTCCCTCCCCACCCCTGTCTTCTCCCAGTGGTCCCAGTCTCAGACCACATCTCACTAGCCAGAAGAGCAGCCCTGCTGGGGACAAAAAAGGTTGAAAGCAATGGGATTTGGGGTGAGTGAAATCAGAGATATGAAGCAGCTCAGGGTTCTGCCTGATGATCTCAGAAATCTCTCCTTGTCCATTATTCCCACCCTCAGGGCCTTACACTCTCATCAGGGTAACAGACTTGTAACAAGTCATCAATTCTCTCACCTGTTCCTTCACCCTGTTGCCACAGTCCTGACCCTTCTCTTCCCTGCTCCACCACCATCTGCAGCGCCCTGCTGCACGCATGGTCAAGTCTCGGCTCCTCAGCCAGACCCACGAGGACCAGGATGCCGCACTTTTCCACTTTCACCCTTTTCCTCACTTCACTCCATAAGCCCCATGTATACGGACAGACTGCTTACTACACCTCAGACATCACCCGGCCTGTCCTGCTCAGGCTTTCCACTCCATCTAGAATGTTCTCCATCTTTCAAGCCTATTTCAAAAGCACTTCCTGATCCTCCTCCTCCAGTCTCTGGTCTCACAAAGGTTCCACATATCCCAGAGGAAAGCAGCACCAGAGAGAGGCCAGGCACTACCTGGGCCCCACCCCTCCCCGCCAGTCCTCATCTGCCCTCCACACCGAGGCACCAACAAACTAGAGGCAACAGGCAGGTCAGCAGCGGAGCCATTAAGCTGAGCAAACACCAAGTTACAGCCCTGTCTCCTATTCATGGCCAGGTGTCCTGACAAGCAATTCCCGCCTTGTGGGTGAGTGGCACCTCTATAAACCCTCTGACAGTTTGGGAGACAAACTCCGCAATCAATCAGAATGTAGCTATCAGGTTCACTTACAGCCTGTGCCCCTCAAGCCCTGCCAACCCCCCTCCCCCAAGTACACGCAGCTCAGTAGTCGGCCTCACGTCCTCCGCTTAGCTTGGCCCTGCCCAGCCCTGCCTCATGGCTGGGCAAGGAGCAGCGGAGAATCCTGGCACCACTCCTCAGCCCAGAATGGCTCCATGGCAAAGCTGAGGAAACAGGGCACCCAAAACTGCCAGGAAAACTCCCAGCTTCTCAATGCATGAAGCAGCCTGGTGGCCGAAGAAGTCCTTTCCTCTGCAGTCTCACTGCCTGCCAGGCCTGGACCAGGACTCATATTCCAGTGGAATACAGCTACTGCAGTTGCACAAACCCTCCATGTTTTTTCAAGCTCCTATGCCTTTGTACCTCCTGTTATCTCTGCCTAGAAATGTCTCCTTCCTGGTCTACAAGACAAATTCCTGCTCATTTTACAAGTATGACTCTGCTCAACCATGCCTTCTGTTAACTCCTAGTACCTATACAGAGTAGTTGCTCTATAAATACTTTCTGAAGGAACTCACTGCAACATGCTCTCAACCTTTACTGAACTCATTCTCTGCCTGGTTTGGCACTGAGGACAGAGTTCTCACATCTGATCCCTACCCTCAAGGTGCTGAGTGTGGGTAAGACTTCCCTAGATCTTTCTACATAGGGGTCCCTTCCTTGGCATCCACCCAGGCTCCTGTGCAACTCTAAAATCATATTTATTACACCATGTATTATCACTGTCCCATACCAGATTGAAAAGCCCAAGTCTGACTCATTGCTGTGAGCTCAGCAGAGCTGGCCAGGCCCACAGCAGGTGCCACACAACACACTCCAGCAGTAATGGCTAAACACCGACAACGCTGTTCTGTTAGGTTCTGGGAGCCTTTGCCAGGAGGGTGGAGGGCTGACTGGCTGGTGGCCCGGAGAAACCTCTCAGGCCACAATCTTTCCTTTCAGATCCCAGCTCTCAGGTGGGCAGCGACCTTCTGCTCCTCTGACCAGCCTCGCAGGATGGAGAGCATGACACTTCTTGTTTGTCACAGAAAAGGCCTCTCTGTCTCTGGTCTGAGTAGTTTACTCTGACCCTGACCCCATCTTGCCAGTGGAGACAGATGCTGGGAACCTTTCCCTACCCCCACAGGTGTTTGTAACAGGCTGCCGCCGCCGATTTCACTCCTGTGCTACCCTAGCCTGCTCCAACCTCCTTCCCAGCACATTAAACTTTATTTTCTTAATGAAATGTCACTTGCTGACTTCTGGCAGAATCATAATAAAAAGAAACGGCCATAAAGCCATTTTATGCAGACAGCACCCCTGCCAGCTTGCCCCCCCTTCCCTTGCTTTGAGAAGAAGGCTCCACAGTCATTTTATGTTCTCAGCTGCTGGAATATCCCAGGCCAGTACTCAGAGGCAAGATGGCACAGAGAACTCCTTTCCAAGCCTCTGGCTCCTGTTCCGTGTAGCTCCGGGGATAACAGGCAAGCTGCCACTCCTGCTGCTACTGTCCAGGGAGGCGACTCTGCCCTTGGGCTCTGCAGGATGACCCAGAGTACCCTTTAGTCACCAGGGAGGCCCCCTTGCTGCAGCTCAGCCCCACCTTAATGTGGCACAAAGGGCTGGGCTGCTGCCCACAGGAAGACTAAGCCTGATGGTCAGTGATGCTCAGCAGAGGGGAGGCCTGGTCCTGGGAGGGCAGGCAGTGTGAAAAACCCCCTCCCTCCAAGTGGATACTTAGCAATAGAGAGCAAGAAGGTTAAATGCAGAAATGATAAGCAAATCTAAATTTTATAAAAATGATTCCTCTCCCATAAACTCATTTCTTCTTGGGTCATCACGAAGCTGGGGGTTGGGAGGGGGGGAATCAGTATTAATTTAATCAATTGATCAGATGATTGATTGAGAAACTGGAGATGCCCGTTTACTGAGGGCAGTAACGTCCTGGAACCTGAAACCACAAAAAAGAGTCATCAATTTCCTCACCTGCTGCTCCCAACAAAACCAGAGCCCAGGGAGAAAGGAGTCCTGAGGTCTCCAGAGGCCTGCCCACTCCAAGGAGAGGTGGGGGTGGGAGGGGGGGCGCAGTAGCAGCTTCCGGAGAGTTTTACACTGGAATTAGTTACAGATGCAGTTACGGTGTCTTGTGTAAACGCCATCGATTGGGGAGCTGACAGTCTGGGGAGCTGCGATGCGGGACAATCAATCGGCCTGCAGTGTCACCTGCCACCTCGCTGAACAGTTGACAATGCAATTATCCAGTGTGGAGGCAGGGAGTTGGCGTGTGTCAAACGCACTTAGCCACTTTCCGGGCCTCCTCGATAACGCGTTTCACTGCCTCACGTCAGGAGAGACGCAGAGAGACAGACGCCGTTTAAAACCATTGATACTTGCTCCTTCTGCCGGCACTCTGTCCTGGCTTAACAATTGTGTTGCAAAAGGCGATTAAATCCCTGTCAGTCGCCACAGGGGACAGAAGGTGCCCTGCTCCTTGCCACCTTTCCTTGCCCCTCCCACCAGGCAACAGTTACAACTGAAGGTGGTAAGGAGTTAGAGGGCAGCAGCCCTAATAGTCTCCATTCCAAAACTGCCTCCAGCAGCTGGCTGTTCCAACACCTGTCACAGACTGGACCAGGCAGCAGGGCTGCGCTCGGGGACATATTTAGCATCAGCAGCTCCATCTTTTGGAAGCAAACATGCCGAAGGAGGCAGCATCTAGGGCTAGGCCTACTTCTCCATGCCCTTGGACTCACACCTCTTAGCCCCATGACCCATAATCTGGCACTAAAGTTTTATCAAGTAATAGCCAGTTAAAAGATCTGTGCCAAAGCTGCCCTGCCTGTCCTGTCCATGGTATCGCACATCAGGCTACTTGGAACCAGCCTCAATCTAAGGCAGGAACTCAAGAAAGATGCAGTCCCTAGGCCAGGATCTGGGCAGAGCACAGACCTTGGACAGTTGGTTCTCTTAGTATTGTCCCTGTCCCTTCCCTCAACCTGTTTGATTCAAAGGGGCTCAATGCTGGATTCTAGGAATGCATTTCCTTTCAGGGCTCAAAGATGGAGTTGCAACACCTTCCATTTCCTGTGCTGCCTCCTGGGAAATTCATCCATCTCACCACTCATGTGCCCACTACATCACCGTCACAGAATCTGAAACCAACCATTCCACGTCCTCTTTCCAGCCTGTCCATTCCAAATATGATGAGCTCCAAGCTCTCCCAAACCAGTTGGGTGAACTTTCACTGGCAACCAATGCAGGGGAGGGATCAAAGCTCCCACAAGTCTCTTCTTTGGGCCCAAGAGCTGGAGACAGGCAATGAAGAAAGCTGTGGCTCATTTGTCACATACCTCCTTTGGCTATAGGCAGGAGCCTGTTTGTCCACAAGGGCTGTGTAATCAGGTTTTCCTTGTGGCCTGCTGCTTTAGCCTAGAGGCCCCTTGCTCTGCCCAGGGATGGCATGGGGCCCCAGAAGAGCATCTTTTTTCCCTAACTGCTGAGCTCTTTTAGGGCAATGTTGGTGAAGCACTAGGCTCCAATGCTGTCCTGTATGCAGTTATAACTCTGGGTGGGGAGGAAGAGCAGCAGCAGGCTAGCAAACCTAAGGTTCAGAGAGTACCAACAGCTAGGCTCACAGCCCAGGGTTTCTTCTAGAACTGGGAAGGCCAGAGTGTTTCCTAGACATCAAAAGTTTGTTCCAAACTACTCTCTTGAAATCTTTACCTATTTCCTTTGGGCTCTTAACGATCTATTTAAAGCTGGATCTAACTCGGTGCTTACCTGTTCTGTCTGGTCCTTCATTTTGTCCTAAAAGTACCAATTCCAAGTACTTCCAGGCCTGAGCTATCTGGGCCTCACCCTGAGTAACCACAGGTCCCATCTCCAAGGCCTGTTCCCCTCGGCCAAGTATCCCACCCAAAACTCTCACTAGTTTATTGGCCCCACAGCAGATTATATTCAAGGCAACCAATTTGCTCCATCAGACCAGCTCCCAGCGGGCCTGGTGGGAAGCTTTGCCGAGGATGACGAACGGGCCCTGGTCTGGGTGGGGGGTAGGGGATGACCGGATACAGGAACTTATCTGCAATTCTTCAATCCTTTCATATCTAACAAGGACAGCAATCTCTGTTCTGTCAGCACGCACAGCGCAGCTTAAATGGGCCTCACCGCTCGCCTGCTCATCCTGCCTCTGCTCCCTCTCTCTGAAGTCGGCTGGGCAGCTTCTTCAGCCGGCGTTATCACTCCCTCTAACCGGTCTTGGCAGGCAATCTAATTCCTCCTGAAAAGGTCACCGCCATTTTAACTGCCTTTCAATCACATTAAGCACGCACTGCCCGGCTTGCGGCCCAGCCCGCCCGGCGGGCGATCAATGCGCTGCACTGACACCAGCCCGCCTGGCGGGGCCACACCCAACCCCCCAAGAGTTGGGCCTATCTGTCCTGGCAGAGGAGGGTAGACTGACAGATGGCTGCTCCTGCAGACAGGATTTCGGGAGCAGAGGCAGTCAGGATCAGCCAGGGCCTCCTTTGATAGCACCCCCCCCCCCACATCGAGGAGCCTCAGCCTCCTCCGCTCCACTGCGCCCTGCTCTCTGCCTCGTGGCCCCTGCTGATCTCACTGTAAAACAGCCTTTCAAGTCTGCCTGTCTTTTGACTGCACTAAGCTGTTTAAGAGGCGGCAGCAGCTTCTATCAGGAAAGCCGGAGCAATTCTCTGCAGATAAAGGCACCTCCGGCCCCTGTTCCCTCTTCAAGTCTCACTCTCATTCTCGCTCTCCAAATCGCTCAAAGAAAAGCCCTCTTTGAACTCCCCTCAGGAATTCTTGAAAGGAACAACCTCACAGCATAAACACTCGGGGAAAACTGACACCCGCCCAGGGCTGAAGAACCCCTCACACCCGCTCTGTAAGTGTGTCCTGGCGCCTGGGAAATACTTGGTCAAATCAGCAGGCCCCATGCAGCTTCATTGCCTTAAGCCCTGTCTGGTGCCCAGAAGCCATCAGGTCCAGTTCTGTGCCAAGAAACCTGACTAAGAAATTGCCACGGCAATGGAAGATGTGAGTATCTGCAGCTGCCGACAGAGTGAACCCCGAGCAGCAGGCTGGAACTGTCCCTGCAGGGCTGCCAGAGACACCTGTGTGTCCAAGTCATGGGATCCTGGGCTTTGCTGCTCATCCTCCCAGAGCCTCAGACACTCAAACTCCAGGACAGGACCAGACTGAAATGGCAAATGGCCATTCTCCAGCTCAGTGCTCAGGCTCAGAAAACAGTTTGGTGTGATTAACTTTCCTGATTTACACTCTGGCTTGTCCCCAAAAGCCTGGGCAATGTGAGAGAAGCCCAGAGGCACAATGCCCCACCTGGGCTTGTGGCCCCTTCACGTAGCCGGTCTGCCCTGGATGGCACTGCAGGGACTGTTCCTCAGCACTGGCCCAAGCAGCACAGGCCCAGTGAGGCAGAGACCCTCCTCCCAGCTGCTGTGAAGCTCCCCAGGGACCAGACACAGCAATCCTCCCAAGGGTGCTGCCCAGAGAACTGGAGGCAGATGGGAAGCAGACTGGCTCACTTAATGACCACAAGCTGCAGTGCCAGCTGTGCTTGTGCACAGAAAGAGAGAAGAGCTGGGGGTTAGGAGGCAGACAGCTCCCTCTTTGCCCTGCCCACGGCAGGGGGGTTTGACAAGAGGACAGTGGCCCTGGGCACCGACCAGTCTGTTTGACCTGGCGGGGGTGGGGGACTTCCACCAGGCCAAGTCATACCCCTCCAAGGAGCCAGGTGGGCAGTGAAGCTGGGCAGGGGCCTGCAGAGCCCTCTGCCGCAGTGGGGGAGAGCCCAAGGGAAGCAGGGAGCAGCTGGGCCCTGGCCCCTTTTGCTTCAGGGCAGAGGGAGCCCAGGGAGAAGGGATGGGATCAGAGCTAAAATTAGATTCACCAATGAAGCTCATGGGAGGTCAAATTTTGCCATAACTCACTCTCTCCTCTGTAACTGATTTCCCTGACGTGGGGCTGAGGAGGAGGAGGAAAATCCAATGTGTTTGCCTGGAAGCCCTCAGGGCCCCCAGTGCTGGAGGTGTACAGCAGGTTGCTGGATTCTCATTTATCAGCCTTAAGAGGGATGGAGTGATAAATGCATAACCGTCCCTTTAATATTTTATGCAGGTGCTAACGCGGCTTGGCTGTCACCTTCAATGCATCACCCGAGGCTCAGAGCCCCCCTCGTCACTTCTAGCTTGCAGCCTCACAATTCCATTTCCCCACCCAAATACATCCATTTTAATATGCACATCACAGGCAGGCAGCACGGTCACAAAGGAGCCCCGCCAGCAGCAGTTCCCACGTGGTGGAATGGATGACCAGCCACCAGCCCTGGCCTCTCGGCTCCGAACAGATGGATACCTAGCAGAGGCCTGGCCACCTATGTGTCAGCTGCTTGTACCTCGGAAACCACCTTCCAGGAGAGTGGTGGCCCGTATCCGCTTCTGCCCGCACCACTCATACTCCTCAAAGCGGTTGCTGTTCTCATGCTCGATGTCCACGGCATCGTCCTCAGCCATGCAGGAGCCTTCCCTCTGTGAAGAGCAGAGCAGGATCATGCAGGTCCCTGGCCACCCCTACCTGCTCCCCAGGCCTGCAGGGAAGGCACAGCCCTAGCCCCCAGCTTTGGCATGCCCAACGGGCCCCCAGCTCTAGGGCTCCTTTGAAGTAAACCAATCTAGAGGTCAAAGACCTGGGCCTCTTCCCAAAAATTTTCCACTGGAGCCCCAGGGGAGGAGTGGGAGAGTGAAAGCAAAGGAAGAGGGTGAAGAATAGAGGAAGAAGCTGCTGAGACTACACAGAGACCTCCAACAGCCCACAGACCTGGAGGCAGTCAGTGGCTAGTGTCAGGGGAAGGAGGGCAGGGGAGGGGAGGTAGGTGGTGATGGCCCCTCTACCTTAGAAAGGCAATGCTCCACATGCCTACTCATCTCCTGCTCCGATCCTGCCAGGGGGCGGCTGCACAGGGGACATACCTGCCCTTCATCTTGCTTCCTCCGTTTCATTTTCCCAATCCGAGCTGCATGGAGAAACCGAAAACAAAGCACAGAACAGGCAGAAGATCACTGTAGCTCCTAAGGTCCCAGTGAAGCTGACACATCCTGACCTCCTGTCAGCCATTAGCCCTTTGGTTCAGTGCCTGATCTGGCCCTCCTTATGCAGCCTTCTGCTCCTTTGGGGACTGGGCCTTGTCAAGAGCACCTAGGGAGATTGGTGCTAGGCCCGCAAAGTGTCTACTCTGGCCACAGATGGCTCAAGTTCAACCCATTCTCCTTACCTGCAGCGCTCAATGAGTCCAACGAGCAAATATACTGTGCGTTTCTAGGTATCTCCCCAGAAGGACAAGATCAGGGGTTCTTTTGGAGTTAAGAAACACAACTTTAGAGAACATCTCTTGGCTAGAACCCAAGGTTCCTCCAGGGGCCTGACTTGGCCAGCTGTTCACTCATCAGTTAAAAATGCCTTTTGTTCCCAGGCCAAGAGCCCTGAGGTACAGCCCTTAGTGTCCTATGTAGACTCACCTCAGGCAGAATTTTTCTCGTGTCCACCAGTCCCATTTTACAGAAGAGGAGACTAAGGCCAAATCATAAAGGTTTAGAGGGTGTGACTCAGACAGCTCAGGGTACCTTGAGAGGGTAGCCCTTACTGTGCCTACCCAAACCTGTTCCATCATTTCTAATCAGTGCAGAGGGGCTGGCAGGCCCTCAAGGCAGAGGGCTGTCTGCCATGCTGTCCCGCAGGGGGCTCAATTCCAAAGTGCACACTGCAAGCCCACAGCACTACTAATTAATGCTGAGAGATGCAATCATTTCTAATTAGCTCACTAATCCCTCTCTGCAGCCCTCCTGTCACTGAAGCAGGAAGGGGTCAAAACAAGGCACTCTAGCCCCTCTAGCCCCTCCCTATGCAACAGTAGGAGTAAAGCTAGCCACTCTGAGACCAGACTGATTGGGGGGTGGAGGGAGGGGGGATGAGAAGCCAGCCACGGGGAGAAGGGTTCCTCACTGCAGTGCCAGGAAGAACTTTCACCTGGGAAAGCTCATCAGTGCAGTTTTGGGAGCAAGATACAGGTGAAAGTTGATGCAAGTGAGAGTTGATAACTTACAATTGAGAGCTTCAACTGTGTATTAGGTTCAGAGTCAGATATCTGATACAATGTAGCTCATTTTATTCTATATCCTGAAGCTAGGTTATATTATCCATTTTAACGTAAGAAGATACTCAAGGCTCAGGGAGATCAAGGCAGTTATCTAGGTGGCTAAAAAGTGGCAAAAGCAGGATAGAAAACCAGGCCTGACTCCATAGCTTAGGAGGCTCCCCTGTCCTAAGAGTGCCCCCAACTGATCAGCAACAACAAAAACTGATCCTGTGAGTACGCTAGGGCAGCAAGAAATACACTTGAGGCCCCAGCTCCCGCATGTTGAGGGTCTGAGGCAGGGAGCTACCCCAACTCCAAAACAGAGTAGCCCTAGAAAGACCCAAATCAATAGTAAAGGAACCATCCCACCAGGGCTGAGCAAGGAGTTTGAGAAACCTTGGTCTGCAGTGAGGCCCATCTCTTCAATTTTCTGTGCTCTCACTATAGGATATGTGACTATGTTCTGGTGTCCCACTTGATTTTGCAGACAAAGATTTAGATTCCTTCACCCTGACTGTCCTGACCCTTGGAATCTTAGGCTCCAGCCACTTTGACACTCTAGAGCCAGGGCTGGGATGGAGAAGGGATGCTAGACATCAGAAAGGCATTGAGCAATGGACTCTGAGAATTCTAGAAGCCTGTATGGAGCAGGGTGCCAATACAAAGATTTCTCCCCTACCCTGCCTAGAGCCTGAGGGAGTTCCTCTCTGTAAGGGGACTAAGATAGACAGTTTGATAATTGAATTAAGAAATTAATCTCATAGAATTGCCAAGGAAGGCACGATACTGGATGCTCTCCTTGCCCAGGCCACCCATGCCAGAAGGTCCCTTGTAGTCCCAGGAAAGCACTCTGAAATGGAAATCCTCAGATAAGCATGGCAGGTTTGGTTATTTTTTCACCTTTCTCATCATTCATCTTCTAGGTCCTGAACTAAGCTTACTGAAGCATGGTAGGGAAAGTTTTGCTCCCTACCTAGAGGCTAACACTGAGCAGGAAAAGTCAGTCTGGCCACGGAGGTAGAACAGCATGGTCAGAGAAGCACAAGCTTTGGAGGTAAACAAACTTCCGTTCAAATCATGGCTCAGGTACATGCCAGTTGTGTGATTTTAAACAATTCACCTTCAACACTCCAAGCCTCAGTTTCCTTATCTACAAATTGTGTGTTAACACTTTCCTCTCAGTTATGATAAGGATGCTGAACGTGGTGCTGGCCCATAATGCTCTCCCTTTCCCAGACTGGGTCTCAGCCTGGTACAGAAACCAAGTAGCAGGAACTGGGGATCTTGAACATTCACGATCTCACTCACTTACCAACTGGCCTAGAGACCCCAAGCCCCTTACAGCCAACCCTCAGATACACCACACCCTAGTCAGCACAAAAAACTAGATCATTCAATTGTGTTCAGCAAATACTAACGCTCCAGAGGTTTGAATCCAAAGGGGGGGGGGGTGCTGCCAGGTAGTGCATACATGGTGTGCTTTCAGAGAAGGCCTCTAAGAGCTGTCGAGCCCACGCTGATCACCTTTGTGAAATGTGGGCTGACTGATAACTCAAAGAGCCCTGGGATGAGTTAGTTCCTGTTGCCGTGGGAACTCCAGATCTCACTGCATTGTCAAGTCTCAGCAGAGAGGCTGTATTCACACTACTGGGCACTGATTAAAAACTGGAAGAAAAACATTCTCAGCGCCCTGCCGGCTTGTACAGTGAGGTCCCAGCGGTTTGCAAATTCAAAGCTGAGCTCCCGAGTGGAATTGTGTAGCTTGTTCCTCGTTCTCTGGCACATACTGCCCCCCAGGTTCTTCAGGGCCTTTAGAGAGGCTCGGGTAAGAGCTAGGAACCATAACCTCCATGAGACAGACGGGGAAACTGAGGACAGATGCCTTGGAAAGCACATACTCTGGCGCTGTCACTGCGAAGAAGCCAATGGGCCATAATGTCGAAGAGACCCAGGCAAGCCAGGAGCAGCAGGCAGTGAGGGAGGGAGGAGGCCGGGGGTGGGGCGGAGGGAGGGGCCGCGCAAGACTCACCATTCAGTCGGGTCTGCCGGTTGGCTCGTACTCGCAGGAAGGTCTGGGAGAAGATCCCGGGCAGATGCAAAAAAGAGAAGAGAGCGTCAGCGTATCCTGGAGTCCTGGCCCCCGCCCCAGCCCCAGACCCCGCTCCAGGCCTGCCCCGCCCCAAACAGCCCGTAAACAAACCTACTTCCT